TTATTGGTTGAGTGGAAAGAGAGATTGTTGAATTTGTAGTCAATGTGTAATGCATTGACAGATAAATATTGAATATCCGTATCTTACAGGTTTATTACAACTTCTTTCAATTTTTGAATGAAAATGAGAGTATATTATTATGAATTTTCTATAATGACTTTCAGGATATAGATTGAGCATGAATCTATTTTGGGTTATTGTGGATTAATTGATGAAGTTATTGGTAAAGATGTTCCATTTTCACAACATACCTTGTGTTGTTATGCTTATGAAGTATATATACCTGATTCTCCATATATATTGGTGGGAGCAATCTATTGAGCTTAAGGAAACTCTTAATTATGTTGAGGAGTCAATTCATATTGGGTAACAAGAGGATTTTATTAGTCAAGGTATTATAGAAGAGTTACTCAGGCGAGGACGTTACTTGTGAAGTAGATAAAATGATGAAAATTTAATATCTTCATTTGTTTTCACAAGGTATATAAATTTCGAAGATGAAATTCTCTTAAGAAGGGGAACATGTAATTACCCATAAAAAAAAATTATTATATTATTTTGGTGCATTGGCTATCTAGAAGTAATATATATAATTAAAGAAGATTAATATATCTCTAATAAAAGTCTTACCCTAGAGAGACCTATTATGACTCTTATACATGTGGTTTAAATAAGATAGTATTTTTGGATAGGTCAAACCCTTATATATATATAAATATATTTAGGTTTGTAGGGTCTTTTGGTGAGAAAACTTATGGAAAGTCTGTCCAGTGACCAAAGAAAAAAAAACGTGAGGGAGGTAGAAAGAGATAGAGAATGAAATAAAGAAAAAGAAAAAGGGAGAGTTGGATCCATTGAAAGTAAGTGAATGCATTATTTATTTTGTGAGTTTTGTATTTTATTTTATCACATGGTGTTAGATTTCATATATATATAATACACAAATAATTTTGAAGATATTAAGTTGAATTTGAGTGTATAATTATTTGAAATTTGATTGAGTTTAATAGGTTAAAAAAAAAAAGGATTTGGACTTTTCTTTAAAGATGCAGAACGTGGAAGGGTTGGTAGGTTGAAGAAGACAAGTTCAAGAATTATGTCATCTACTCCTTTGATTTCAAAGAGCTTATTTTGACCCCTAAATTTTTCTAAACTTATTTTTAACCACCTTTTTACTTAGTAAGTTGCAATAGTAGAATTTTAGAAAATTTATGGCAGCCCCGAAAACAAAAAATTCGTTTTTAAGGAAATTACACTTTGACACCCAAAGTTTCAAAAATTATGATTTGACCCCAAAACTTTAGAAACTTTTTTGTAAATAGTCCAGAATACTTCCATACCCTATTAACTTGTATTAGAAAGGATATTTATATGTAAAAGATATATTAAGTATATATCAATAGGTAGGAAGTATACAAATTAAATATAAAATTGTGAAAATGACGAAAGTTAAGAATAGAGATTAATTGTTATATGTTATTTTAGATTAGGTGGTGATTGCATTGAAGTTAAGAAATAGTGCTTTGAATTAGATTTTGGGAATTAATGTGAGTAGTTACTACTTTTTTTGGGAGATCTTTTTATATTAAATGTGTGGGTGCGTGCGTGTCGATTTTTCATATATATGATATATGTGTTGATGTTTGAGGTTGCAATTAAATGATTTGAAATTGTAAACTGTTATACATATGAATTTTGGAAAACTTGTGGGATGATTTTATATTAATGTTTTGGTGATGAAAGGGAAATTTTGTGTGCGTTGAGACTAAAACTACAGTTTTGGTGTGCGTGAAAATCATGTTTATGAGACGGGGACTGGGTTACCAGGTCTGAGTGATAACGAGATTGTATACTGGCGTGGTCGGTATAAGAATGTGCATATAGGGGCCAGTCATCAGCCTAGTGATGACATGAGACAGGGTCAGTTATCATGCTAGTGGCAACAAGAGATGAGGTCAGTTACCAGGCTAGTAGTAACAAACATGATTTGATAAATATATTTGAGACTGAATGTATGTGTGAGTGTTTTGAGTTATAAATATCTTTTTATTTATAAAGTTATTTGTGATCATGAGATTATTTTATTTAAATGATTATGTAGGAGGAATTGAGGTACAACTTATTGTATTTATGTATGTAACAAAGTTTATTTTTGTATATAAAATGTGAAATTTATTTTCATACCTCGTTAGAAGTGGTTGCTATTCACAGGCTTTTGTGCTCATTCAAACATTTAACATTTTTCAGGTGAGGATCAGAGTGAGGAGTAAGTCTATAAATAAGGGATTAGAGGACTTGAAGATTTATTTTAATGTAGGTCTTTAGGAATAAAAGTCTTTTATAGTTTTGAGACAAATGTTTAATTATTTTGGGAACAATATTGCTAATGTTTAGAGTAGTGAACCTTACGGTTTAATTATTGTTTTACATTGATTTAGTAATGATGCTGGTGATGTTTAGTTTATTCATCTAGTATTCATTAGGTCAATGGAATGAATCATACTATTATTTGTCTTTCGCTGTATTTTACATTTATTATACACAGGGTTAGTTGATTAAGGGCTTGGTGGCCGGTCCGCTACCCACCCTATGTGATCCAGGGTAGGGGTGTGACACCAAGTCTTGGTTTGGGTTGGGGACCAGTTTAGGTTCGGGGTTTGGGTTTGGATCGTGTCTGGGTTTGGGTCTAAGGGTCAGTGTCTGTGTATTTTAGTGAATTAGTGTGTATATGTATTTTGGTGTACTAGTGTGTGTATATTTTGGTGTATTAATGTGTGTGTCTATGTATATGTGCATGCATATTTTGATACATTAGAATGTGTGCTTTTTTTGTGTATTAGTGTGTGTGTGTGTATGTGTTTTGGTGCACTAGGGTGTGTTAGTGTATTTTTTGGTTTATTAGTGTGTGTGTGTGTTTTGGTGTACTAGTATGTATGTGTATTTTAATGTACTAGCGTGTATATGTGTGTGTTTTGGTATTAGTGTATGCATTTTGATTTTATTACTTTTGTTATTGATAAATAATCAATTCAATGTGGTAGTCATTTGTAATACATCTTAATCCGCTTAATTAAATTGAGTGTTATTGAAATTTATTTAGAAGCCACATCAATTAATATAAGTACCTAACCCATTAATTTATGGATAGATTGAACTAGTTAATGCGTAATGTGTTAAAATTATCACATAATCACACCAATTTAGTCAAATAATGATTAGTTTATATTCTCAACTTAAAAAAATGTAAAAGATCCAAATAATAAATATATTAATTTCATTTTCACATATTTTGATTCTTAACAATATATTAGCTACTCTATTTTTTTATTGTTTTGACAAAATTATAACTTAAAATGGTTCACATGCCCGTGCACTAACTAGTCTATACTACTAATAAAAATACCTTAATATGAAAAACTTTTGATTCACTCTATCCTTCTACACTTAATATCTAAATTATCATCATATTTTTATACATTTAAATCTCCAAATTTCATCTAAGATCACTTTTAATTATATATTCCCTGTGTATAAATGTCGATTTTTATGAAACTTTTTGATTGATTATATTATTCTTAAAAAATATATGTATCATTATAAGTTTTAACAAAATATTCAAATAAACTTTCAAAAATTTCATAAATATAATATTATTCACCTTATTTATAAAGATAATATTATGATGACGTATTTATATTTTATTTTTCATTAAAATGTTTAACCCTTTTATTTTTAAGATAAAAAATAATGTATATAGTTTTACATGAATTTTTAGTCGCAGTAAATTTTTCAAAATGTGTTAAGATTTTATGTGAAAACTTGATTTCTTTTTTTAAATTTTAATATGCTTTATAATATGTATTATAACATTGTATATTAAATTTTATCCCAATTGACCTAAATACTTCTAAATAAAGTAAGGTTCGAATATGATTGATATATTGATAATTATTTTTATTTTGTTCAATAATTTATAAGTGAAATTTCAATCAAATTAATTTTCTACAAATATCAATTTTTATGAAACTTTTTAATTGATTGAATTACTCTTAAAAAAATATGCATTATTATAAGTTTTAACAAAATATTCAAAAAAACTTTCAAAAGCTCTATCAAATATAATATTCCTCATCTCATTTATAAAGATAAAATTATGACTATATATGTATATTTTATTGTTTATCAAAATGTTTAACTATTTTATTTTTAAGATAAAAAATAATGTATATATACTTTTACATTATTTGTTAGTCACATAAACTTGTTAAACTGTGTTAATTTTATGTGAAAACATGAATTATTTTTAAAAACTTTAATATGCTTTATAATATATATTATAGCATTGTTTATTAAATTTTATCTTAATTCACCTAAATAAATCCTAAATACAGTAAGATTCCCATACGATTGGCATATTGATAATTATTTTTATTTTATTCAATGATTTTTAAGTGAAATCTTAATCAAATTAATTTTAAAAAATTTAATTTTCAAACATCGCTAAAAAATCACTTTCAATTACAAAATTATTGAAACAAAATAAAACTTTAATTATTTCTTCTTTTTTTATTATTTTTTTTAAAGTTAGAACAATAAATCTTGAAAATATACACAATTTTCAAAAATTGTATAGTGTAGCATGATAGATGAAAAAATAATTTTGATAAATTTGATATGATATTTAATTTAAATACATATATATTAAATATATATTTATTAATTTTTTTAAAAAAATTATTCAAGAAGAACGTCGTGCATTGCTAATACACATAAAATAGTACAAAAATAAAAAACCTACGTCAAAAAATTTTATTGGACAAAGCAAGTAACGTATGATTTTGGATAAATTAAATTTTTGCAGGTCTTTTCGTACAAAGAGTCATTCACCCTAATTTTTAAAACTCAATTTCTTTGTTGTTATGTTTTCATTGCAGGATATAAAACTCAAATTCCTTGAATTTGCTGTTTTGGGTTGATTATATTTTGGGTCTTTTAGAAAAATGGATGATAGGAAGCATAGAGTCAAAGGATTGGTGAAGAAAGTAAACAATCATTCTCATCATCTTTTTCTTGTGGTAAATCCACAGGCCAAGGTAGAGTCTTGGCACAGAATATTTTCTCAGAGTCTTGGACTCTTGGGTTCACCTTATTCAGGCACCGCCAACCAAATCCTACTAACCGCCCATCCAAGGTTCTCAATTCTGACCCAACTAAACCCTTCTGTTCCATCAATTTCAATGCCTTTGCATCAAGAAACAAGGAATAAATACAAAAACATGCATGAAAAGCTGATTTTTTTTTGGACTCAATATGCAAACCAGCAAATGGGTTTGATCCATTTGACTCATTGATCACTTCTGGGAAGTGGGAAGAGAAATCCAAATGGGTAATCTATGCAAGTGTTTGATTGTCCAGTTTGTGGCCGAGGTTTAGGGTCAGAACAAGAGGTGTCAGACGAGTTGTAAGTAAATCAGAAGATAATGATTTTGGCTGACTTGGAGGATTTGGAGGGTAGTGAAAGTGGTGAATGTGAAAACTGAATTGGAGTTTTCTGTTGTACACATGTTTCGGGGGAGCCAACCAAGCGGTCCGTTGAGGTTGTGCTTAAGCTTCTGAATAATGTAGTTAGGGATTCAGAAAATGCCAAGTTTAGGAACACTGGGCAATCCGCAGATAAGGGAGGCTTTGAGTGATGTACCAGGAGGACTGGAGTCGTTGGAATGTGTTGGGTTTGATCTGAGAAAGGAAGGTGGGGAGGTGTGGGCACTTATGGGAGTCCCTCAGAGGAGCGAATTGGTCAAATTAAGAATGCAATACTGTTGCTAGTGTTACAACATTCAACTCAAAATTAATGGACAATGAATGGAGAGGCCCTAAGCATATAAACCAACCTTGGGTTTGGGTAGTCCTAATCATTCGATGGTGGGTCTTTCCTGCAAGAATCACAAAATGTTGAAGATTTGGCATCTAACGGCCCAGTTGAGGTAGATGTACCTGTTGAGCCAAATAAAGTAGATAAACTGGTAAATTATTTTGCTATTATCTGCTGCAATGTTGTATAGTATGATAATTCTTTGTTCCTTGTGCCATAGTATTAAAGCACTTACTTTAGGCTTTGAGTTTTACCTTGACATTTGTTTCAGGCTTTGAAATATGTTTTGCTCTGAATCCGGGTTTCATTGGATGTAATTGGATCGAAAAGGATTTTAAGTAAAAGGAGAAAAATAACATTTATTGTTCGGTCTGTTGGTGCTTCACTGTCAGGGAATTGTTTCTTACAACTGGAAAATTAGTTGTCTTCTTCGTAAATCATTGAAATTGAGTAATATTTTTGAAAGAATGTGCACTTGTTTCTTAATTTATATGTAGTAAAGAAGTTCTGCTTGAAAGAAACACATTCTTCTATGAAGGATATCCGAATCATATGTTTGGGGAGATAGGGTGCGATACAATCGTCAAACAAAAATATACCAAGGATATTGGCATGGGTTTGGCTTCCTAGCGTTTATCATGTAGAAAAAATGAAGGAAGGGGAATTCGACCCCTAGCTCTTAGCTTGAATGGTATCTCTGGCCATACCCATGGTGGAGGTTCAATTTTCTAATCTAGGTTGATACTTGAGTGATTTTTTTTTCATTAATTACAGGTGGAACACTTTTTTGAACAATAAAAGACAGGTAAAATTGAAACAGGACAAACACACAAGTTGAAAACAAAACCCCTGTCACGGATGTTAGAAATGGTAGTACTCAGTTGATACTCGCCATAAAAGCGCATTTGCCAAATCTGACATAAGATTCTGACCATGAATGGTCCACTGTCTCACCTGTTTTCACAATCACATACATGCTTGTGAAGAAAGTTCTGGGTGGTCCTGCCTGAATTCTATATTTATCATGATCAACGATCGAGGTAAATATTTAACTTAAATGGAACAGTGGAGAATGAATTGATGTGGAATAGATTTATGATTATTGTCGTTGACAATAAGAGATTGAGTGAAAAAAAGAGAAATTTTTTTATCAGACTGTGGAGCCAATATCTGGAATTCTTCACAGTTGGAAAAATTTCACCTCCTCTGGAAGCTTTCGAAAGTTCTTCCTCAATCTCCTGATCATTTTACTGCAAAAAGTAAAAACAAAATGGCAGTCAAATGTCACAAAAAGCTGAGGGAGCTGAAGCAAATGTTTGCTATAGAACTATTCCCAGTCTTGTCTGGTCAACACAGTCTAGAATCAGTACAATAAGAAAGCTGTGTTTGACGAAAGATCTTTCCAAATTAAGTGTGATAACTAATACAAAGAGCAAGCTTGACATGACAATTAAACTTATGTAAGCTTGACTGTTGAATTTTCGATTATGGGGGTTTTCTGTTTCCCTGGCAGATATGCATCATCTTGAATGAACCAAACTTACTTAGGATGTTGTGCATGGATAACTCATGTCCCTAGAGAAGCTTCAAAGACATTCCCTCATAATGTCCTTATGTCTCTTCATTGAACTGTATGGGCCCGGACCAGATGACAAATCATAGGCCAATTAACTCTATGATAGTTTTTGGAATATTTTATATCCCGTTCGTGTTACATTTGGACAGAGAGATGGAGGAGGGGGAGAGGGGAATAGGTTGTCTTTGAGAGGGTTAGAAATAACTTACAAAAACTGTCTTTTGGTTTTTTTTTTGGGATGGCAAGGAAGGCGTTCGGTCTTTGTGAATAGTATGGAAACTAGGGATATTGCTGGGTTATACATGCTAATGTGTAGATGAGTTGTAGCCAAGGTCTCTGAAATGTTAATCTCTTGGCTTTACAGTTTGGAAAGCATATTCAGAAACATTTTACCCTTTCAATTCAAATTTGAGAAATCAGTGAATCAGAGTTTGTATGCGTAATAGTTTTTTTTTGAATTTAACATTAAATAACAAACTTCGACTTTCTTAGATGACTAGTATTAGTGTAACAAATTTTAAAATCAATTTGAGAACTTATGAATTTTAACAGTCAAGGTATCAATCGAATGTGTCTGGGGCAAAAGCAGGCAAGGGGAGCCGCTTATGTTTGTCTAATTGTCTACATGACACAGCCTCTAGGGTACATCTCATCTTGGCCTTTGTTCATGTCTTATCATTTTTAGGTAGTGCCATTTTTGTCGTGCCATTTTCGAGTTAAATTTTTTTGTGTCATGTTTGTGTTTTCTTTGTATAACCCATTTACTAAAAGTCATAGATCAGGACTCCCTTTCTCTCATTCAAGTCAATCACACAATAGGTCACCATAAATTAAAAATCTATTCGATCTCCATTCTAGTAAAACCAAAACAAAAGTCATACAATTCTTTAATATTTTATACAATTATAGATCATGAAAGCAATCAGACAATTTTTTTTTCTGGAAATTCCAGTTAAATGGATTTATCATGTCAAACTCGAGTTATCCATATTGAATACTAACCCAACTCGTTTAATAGGCACGTTAATTGGTATGTTATTTTCGAGGTCATGTCAGGTCAGGTTCCTATTTGTTATGTTGTCATGTCCAAAATTAACATCCCTACCTCACAGCACAAAGATCTGCTTTCTTGGTAACATTCATTGTGGTTTCTTCTGGCATCTTTAAGTTGTTTTTGATTCTATTTATTGAAAAGATGTATTCTGAATCAAATTACAAATAATCTGACTGCAATCCAACAGTTGACAATAATTGGTAACATATGGCCAACCCAATGACTTAAAAGTTTTGATTATCCCTCCTTATGAGATATATCTCTTTCATACCCTGCTAAGCACGTAAGTCTTTTCTGCAACAGGATCTTTCTTACACCTCCATCTGAGCGTGTCCCCTGGGAAAGACCGAACTGCATCATGCTTCAGAGTTTGTGGGCCACTCTGCTGCAAACTCTGGTCTGGATTTTATTTTACGTAGCTGAAATAAAGGAATCGTTTGGGCTGATTAGGGAGTGTCTTGTGGATGAAAAGACTGTGCGATATTGTACTTTAAGTTGATGATGCTCAGGGCGTTTAGTTTGCTTAGTGCCAGCACTAATCAGATGATCAATAGCTTACTGGCTTTGCATTTGACATGATCTTTCCATATTTATTTAGATAATCTATATTAGGTTAGTTCCCCTGCACTGTTTCCTAAACAAGTGGCTGCAGTAAATCTATATGTTTTGCCTATCATTGCAATCGTTGCTCTATCCAACATGTCTTCCTAACCAACCATATAATCTCATCATAAGTATATGTAATGCCCTAAATTCATTGACCATATTTGTTGGGGATATTAAATCCTGGGAAAGTAGTGTAAATTCATCAGTGCTTGCAGCACAGAGATGTATGTCCTAGATAATGTGCGTTGGTCATCCTCTCAACCAAATCGAATTGGTTCTGAAAGAATGATAATACAGTATGAAATCCAATCAGAATTTTGTAGTGGTCAATTATTCATTAATGATCTCTAATCAGTTCCTTGGGGGTCAAATTCATAGACACTTATGTTCAGATTTGGTTTGGGATGAGTTGCTATTGATGAATGTTTTGAATGCAGATATATCCAGTGTTATGAAAGTCATGCCTAGGGGAGAGGCAAGCCTAGGTCTCCTGGCAAAGTCCAAGCGAAACGATGTTCAATGAGGCAAAATTAAAGCAACCAAAGGGATCACTTTTTCGCTTAAGTGCAAAATGTCCAGGTGAGTGCTTTAGTGAAGTTTTTTAAGTTGCTTCCTTTGTCTATTATGAACCGTTAGATTGATCAATTGGATTTTGATATGCCCATAACAACCGATTGCCCTTTATCCCTATATATGTCTCATGACTAAACCCTAATCGACCCTGAATTTGCAGTGGAGACCATAAGTTGCTACTAATTCTCTTCTTCTCCCCTTTTTCTTCTTCTGTGATGGTGCTACTGGAATTCTGCACTTCTTTTTCTAGCTCGAACTATATTTTTCTATTTTTTTGGCTGGAATTGTATTTTTTTTTTACTATAATTTTGCTTTATGGAAGCATTAGCTAGATGTTTAGTTACTTGAATTGTGTGTTTTACAGTTCCAAATATTAGGATTTGGGCATTATTCATATTTTTTTTGGAATTTAAATGTTTATGCTATGGTTACCGTTAAGATTTGAGATATTATTATTGGTTGTTTGAATTTAAATGTTTTTGGTTTTTTGGTTGCATTTGAATATTTAACATTTGTGAAGGTAGAACTTGAATATACAAATAATTGAACTAAAATATTTGCTTGTTTTTATACCGTTCGCTTTACTTCGATGAAGCGCTTGCTTCTTGCCTAGGATTCAGGAGACCGGTTCGCTTTGGTTCACTTTACGCCTTAAATAACACCGGAGAGAACTGCATAAATTTTCTTTTGGAGTATCCCCAATGAATCTAGTTATCTTCCCAAGTTAGAATACTTAAAGAGTATTTAGCCTTATCCAGCAGAGTGAGCATTTAATATATGCAAACAATACTAGTATGGTAAAGCACACAGGATTAACAGGAACAAAAACTACCTTGCCCAAACTATTTGGCAGTAATTATTGATTTTTGATTCATTAAGCCTTTTGAGAATGAGAAGTCTCATGATTGTTATCTTACTGGAAGTTATGAGTTTATTATATATCTTTTTTTTTTTGTGTGATAAAGGAAATCCTACTTTCTTGCATACTTTCAATTGATAGTGGTATGGTTTTGTTGAGTTGAGCAGCTATGCTTTACCAAACCTTTTCTTTGCTGGTCTCACTGTATATAAAGTATGCTCTCTGTGTTACGTTTAACCATTAATGATTCATTTCTTATCATTTTCAGCTCCTGATATTTCTCATTTATGAACATAATAGATCCGGATCTTCTTTGTCCCTGAACATGCCAGATTCTTTGTAGTCTTTCACTTGAAGAACTGAAAAGAGAAATGGATATGAGGAAGAAAAAGAGAGGTTTTTATTTCTAAGTCATACAATGAAAAGCAGGAAAAAGCTGCAAGGAAGAGGTACACCAAAAATGTAATCAGGGTGCAGTTTCCTGATGGAGTGCTGCTTCAAGGTGTCTTTTCTCCTTTGGAGCCAACTACTGCTCTCGATGAGGTTAGATCTTTTAGTTGCTTCTATTACTTTCTATTTGTTGCATTCGTACTTTCCTGGAGACCATGCACACCAAACGGTGTAATTGACTAATAGTCAAAGATATCGTTGATGATCTGATTAGAAAGATAGTCCATTGATGGTTCTGATGGAATAAAAGTGAGATATTTTTATAGTTTTATTACTTTTTCTAGCATTTAGATAATATTATCTTACTATCTCTTTAGTTGGCATCAAATATTTTTATCCGAACTTATAGTGTATACTGTGTTAGTATGATCTGCACTCCATGTGGCGAAGAAAGTTGCCAAGCTCCTGAATGTAACTGTATTGGTGGTGGTGAGCAATGTCAATACTCTCTCAGAAACCTTTGTAGAGAGAGAGATCTCAAGTCTTGTGAAGGAGAGAAGAAAAATGACACTGATTTCAAACTTCATAAACTCGCACCAGAAACAAAGAGAGCAAAAGAAACTTTCATATTATAACCAAAATATTCACTTGACGATTTTCGCATGCACATTAACATACATTTTATGCCCAGCCATCAGTTGAAAACCCACTTTCATGTGCCTCAGGTTAAGTTGTGGAGAGTGGTAAAGTAAAATCATTTATTTTACCCAAACAAGTAAATCAAGTGCAAGATAAGACAAAAAAGTGTGAAGTTGTTTGCTATAACCTAAGAGCGAGGGTTGAACATCTATAATTATGTTTTCTTATTTTGCTGGCATGTTTGATTGTTTACTTATTGAAATTTCACATGCTAATCCTTCCTGACTTTTCACATATTCTTAGACGCATCAAATATATTGGATTTAGCGATGTAACATGTATAGGAGAAGACTACATGATTGATCAAGACCGTCGAAAACAATGTTGATCGGGCATCAATCAGGGCTGATTTTGGGCAATAGTGTCTGAATATTATATAAGATCCCATT